TGCATCTTGGGAGCCTTAGTGTCATTCTCAATATTACTTAGGAAGTACTACCATAATAAGTTGGGGGAGTTTGACATCTGCCTGACATATGGGTTGCTGATCGGGGCATTGGCATTGGATTTGATATCCATCTGGTTACTTATGTTCTCTGATTGGATTTTTATTAGGCGGTACCATGGCAGAGAGAATTATGATGAATTCATTAAAAGGCGCAGGTGGTCGAATTCAGTTCCCCAATTAAATATTTTTGATTGTCATTTCAAGAATAAAGATGGAGATTATCCAAATAAATTGGTTGATTTTCTTGGCGCAAGCAGTTTGTTTGAAACCATAAGAAGAGGAATCCAGTGTGTGTCCCAAGAAGATTTTGTAGAGGAACAAGCTTGGAAGCTCATTTTCACAACGCTTCGAGAAAAGGATATTGGCGAGGCTGGCAAGGAAATCTTTGGTCCGTCTAGAATTCTCACCGGCCATATTACCAACTTCGCTTGGACCCTCGACAGGTTTGAGCACGTGGAAAGCCTTCTGATATGGCACATAGCCACTGAAATATGCTACCGAAAAGTATGTCCACAAAACAGCTCCAGCAGTTCTACATCAACATCTAATGATCGTTTCGATCACCGAAAAATATGCAAGTTGATTTCAGATTATATGTTTTACCTTTTGGTAATGGAGCCTACCACCATGACAGCCACCTCGCCTAACAATCTGAAGATGGTTTTTGAGGCCAAAGATGGACCATGGGAGTGGCCAGGTTATTGGAAGAAGGGATCCAAAGAAACATTCATTAAAGGTCTACTGGATAAGCTATTGGAAGACGAAGCTGAAATTGTTTATAGAAATCTAGGTCTGTGGAAGAAAGATGTGGACAGGTTAGAACCCAAGGAAAAGGATAGAATAGCTGGCTTTCCGAGGATAACCGTTGCAGGTTTTCTTGCCAAGGAGCTTCTCCAATATCAGCCCGGTGGTTGTCCGTGGAACTTAATGAGCAGATTTTGGATAGAAATATTATGCTATGCTGCTATTCATTGCCAACCCATTGTCCACGCACGACAAGTAAGCAGAGGCGGACAACTTCTCACCTTGGTTTGGTTGTTGATCAATTACTTGGGATTAACTTCTCATCCAGTGAGTCCAGCTAATTTTTAGCACAACCGAAGCTTATGGCACAGGACAGGAGACGTCAGGATGAGTCAACAGATTCGGAAGTGTAACCGTTGGATCTTACGAAAGAAGAGATGACTAGACGGGTAGAGACAGCATTTCAAGGCCCTCCTTGGCCTCTTCTATCCTTGTTCTTTCAGAAGGAACTCGTTCACGAGTTGGAGATCATCTCAGCCACTTCATAAAATTGTCTGTCAAATTTAATTCCAGAGTTTTCTTTTTATTTTGATTTCCTGTTTAATTTGAAAATCTCCTATTAATTTTTTTAGTACTGCATTGTATTTTATTTATAGTTGTGTTGTGTGTTGCTGTATGAAAACTAGTATTTGAATTATAATCAATAACACTTAATATATTACCATGCTGGATGTTATAGCAACCTATGGATTCCAGGACAAAGGGTACCTATTACTTTTTATTTTTCATCTGTCAGAAATAATATTGGATTTAGTATGGAAAAATCGTACCGGTGATCGCAGCAAGGGTACGGTAAAATGTCAATCGGTTGCTCCTAATGTAATTTGGCATTGGCATAGAGGCCCAATATTTGATTTACCGTTTGAGCCTCCAGTTTACTGCTGCACCTGCCATTCGGCCCATTTTTACTTTTTCTTTTCTTAATTTTTATTTTCTTATTATTTTAACTTCAACTTTGCTTTAGACATAAATAATCTCCATTTTTTTTGGGAAACCCTAAAAAAGCCTTTCATCTCTCTTCTTCCTGACGGTCGCCGCCTCTACTATTCTCTTCGTCTCTGTGTTTTCTCCCCTAATCTCATAAACTTTTTTTTTTTTTTTTATCTATTTCCATCACTTTCTTCTCCCATTTTCTTTGGATACTACTCTCAATTTGCTTATTGTTAGACGAGCCGACGACCAAAGCGCCACGGTGATGCTGATTGCACAGACGATCGCATGTGATCCCAACACGTGCGTCCACGTGACGGTGATGCGCCACATTCGTCTAAAGAAGAAACACCCTCATGTATCATCGTGCCGATCCCGCCAGTACAAGTGCCATTAGTCAGCGGTGATGCTGCCGTTGTCTGCGGAACTTGGTCCGGCGAGTGTTCCTGCGCTGACTTCTGGCTGCAATAACGATGCAAAAAGTAAATAAATAATCATTAAAAAAATCAAGCTTTTTATGGGGGATTGTACATATAATAGAAAAAAAAAACAGAGTCCAGTAGAAAAATGAAAACAAAACATTTTTTCTATCTTCTAAACTTTATAATGGCTGTCACACACTATCATACACCTAAAAAATTACCAAACCAATACTTCAATTCAGCTAAACGTTAGGCTTGGGATTGGATGAAGTTATTTTATTCACTTCGCTGAACGTTAATTTCTTGAAGAAAGTGCTCCTTGCAGTACAGGCACAGCCTTCTGAAATTGCGGATTTTATTGGAGTAAAGGTGTAAATAAATATTTTAATTTTATATATTTTTTTAAAAAATATTAATTTTATTAATTTTTAAATAAAAATATTAATTTTATTAATTTTTAAATAAAAATATTAATTTTTAATTTTTTTAAATAAGAATGTTAATTTTTAATTTTTTTTATTTAAAAATGTTAACTTTTAAATTTTTTTATTTAAGGATTATTTAAATAGTGACATTGACGTGATTAACATTGAAAGTTGATATTTTTAAATAAAAAAAATTAAAAATTAATATTTTTATTTAAAAAAATTAAAAATTAAAAATTAACATTTTTATTTAGAGTTCACAAAATTAATATTTTTAAATAAAAAAAATAGAAAGTTCAGATTCTTATTTCCTCCTTTACTCGATTTTATTGGGGCGAGTGGCTGATTTTCCCTTCTCTACAGGAAACTGCGCGGAAGGTGCAGCATGGGTACAGCATAAAGAGTTGAGATCTAGGGTTTTGAAGGATTGGGTTTTGAAGGAGTGTTTTCGAGGAGCCGAGGACCAAAAAAAGAAAGAAGAGAGAGGAAATCATCTTTTTCCTTCTTCTTTTTTCTCTGTTCCTTTCCTCTTCCTCTTCAAGAGATTTCAGAGTGAAGCTTATAAACAGTTGCTATTTTGTAATCGATTTTCAAGGAATAAAGGTACGATTTTTCTACAATCTCAGGTACTCTTTAGATTCAATTCTAATAGAGGTTGAATCTGGTTAAGGGATCAACCCAAGATTGGGTCCCCTTTAATGGAAATTTTCTATTTTAATTGCAGTTGTTGTGTTCTGTCTGGGAAGTTTTACATATAAAATTTTTCTGTTATTATATTATGTGCTGCCTAAATTTCTTGTAGGCAAAGTGCATATTTGCTTAGTGGATGAGTAGCAATTGTAAAATGGATGTTGGATTCTGATGCAAGTTTGATCCTTTGAACATGCTGCTGCTTATCCTTGATTTGCATGTGCTTTATGAAAAAAGGTTTTTCCATGATTTCTAATTAGCTCGTCGTAGCCTTGCGAAGTGTGCAGTGTATAGGGATCTTCTTCTATGGCTTCTGAGCTTATTTGAATTTAATAAGCTATGTTGTATGGTACAAGCTATGTACTGCTTCTGTCACGAGCTCTGAAAGATAGGAATTTCATGACAAGGCAGCTTGAAAACTCATTGTACATTCTGCGATTTCAGATTGATTTCCATACTGTTTCATTTGGTCTGCATTTTGATTTTTGAGCTGGGATTATATGGTCATTTAGGATATCTAGCCTTTACCAAAAATAAAAAACAAATAATAAATAAAATGGCAAGACAACAGAGTTGATTGAACTTAATAGAAATTAGAATAATGCCCTTTGCTTTGGAGATTGATTGACAGACATGTTGAATATGATATGTCCATAGAGAATTCAATGCACTTCGTCTTACTTGTCTTGTCTATTTCTTTTTACTTAGTCTAATAACAACTCTAAAATTTTCTTCTTTTTTTTTACCCTTAATTTTCAAATTTCATTTTATTTTCAATTTTGAGTGGATTGTCAACAAACTTGTATCTTAAGGTCTGACTTCTATTTTTTTATATAAAAATTAGTTTTTTTTATGTATAACAATTACTATTACTAAATGTTCTGCTAGGAATTTTTTGGAAGGGAGAGAACTACAGTGCTAACATCTGAATTCAAGAAGATTAAGACCGATTGATTTCGAGGAAAAAGGTACTTTATAGTTCGCCTAAATGTTTTTAATCTTTTATTGTTGTTACCATCTAAATGTTTTGTTTACTCGAGACTATACAAAACTAAGTTTAAAATAAGGAGGGCCTCTCAACATGAGGGCTTCCTTCCTTTAAGAGTCCTTTTTATAATTTATTATAGTTTAATATAACATAGATTTAAAAAAATTAAAATTGTTATAATTATAATATTATATAGAATTATAATTTTACAATATGATGTATTATAATATAATTACTTTTTTTCATTGAAAAACTTATCCGTAGTATTATGTTCATATGCTCATTCATTATCACATTATACTTTCTTTAATAT